ATATATAGATTGGGTACCAAGTATTGAATGCTCTTTCGGAGTACCTTCTAATCATCAACACTTCCAATAGGTTAGGCATCCCGGTGTCATTGTGAAACACATCGAAAGTTCTAAAGTATCATTTCACTGTGCGTATGCTGACGATTCTTCCATAAATTACAAGAATCAAAAGGAAGAATTAGAAAGCTTAATCAAGATTATGCAAGGCTTAATATTTGTGACTTGACTTGTTCCCCTTCCCTAGTTACTAGGAGTTGGAATCAAGGGTCAACATACCTTATCAAAAAAGAGGGTCAAATAACTGCCACCCAAAACCAGAGGTTCATGCAATTCCTATATTGTGTAGAACTAAGAGTATCAAAGAAAAGTGTGGAACAGGAATTTTTAATAGTGTGAAACATAAAAAGGAAAGCAAAAGCACATCCTTGGCACAGAAAATCAGGCTGTATATACTCAAGGGAAGAACGTCTGCAGGACATCAAACTCAAGTTTCTAGCAAAAAAGCTAATGATTCAGATACTTGCATTGCAGATTGCAGCATAATGTTATACACCTGAAATAATTGGCAATTCTCCTATATAGATGGATTGAAGCACTAAAATATGAACAAGCAAGAGAAACTTCAATACAGTAATCTAAAAGAACTACTCCACACATTCATAAGAAAGTGCACGATTTCTAATTTGGCCTGCAATGGATGCCTTTTACAATGATAAATATTCTGCATTTCACACCCAAGGAACTAAGAAGTATGCTAAAAACTGCCAAAAAGGAATCTGCAATGCTAGTAAAAAGGAGAAGGCCCAGCAACCTCCTTCAACGATATAAAGCACAATTCACATGTTAGGTCACTCATTCTCCAGAAATATCTTTCTCTACAATCTAAGGAAATATACTGAAGTCAAGAAGGATGTCTCATGCAACTAACAAGCAAAATGAAGCAACTGTAAGTGCAAAAAGATTGGGCTCATGTATGTTCATCAAGGCATAACAATGAATTTATCTACTTGACAATATCAACGATATACAAATCAATCAAATCTTGTTACAGGACGAAGTACAAAAACAAAATTGAGATCATCTAAAATTGCATATTGAACATATTGTTTTACACTTGTTATTTCTTCATAAACCAGTGAATTGAAAATGAAATGAAGTATGAGGAGTGGAAGTCCTCAAAGATACTTACAGGGGCATCAACTCAAAGGACTAAACCTTGTACTGCAGCAGGCTTGGAAGACTGATGCTCCGTGAAATTAGAAGCTTTTGGAGAATCAGATAAATGAACCTGTGCAAAATCAGTGACCATTTTCTGTCTCTGCTCATCCTCAGTCATTCCCACTTTCTCTTTTGTCTTCTGGCCCACTTCCCCTGCTGTTTTAGCAACTTTACTAAAAGCGCATGTTACCCAAGTAGCCCCAGTGAGAACATACCGGTTTTTCGTAATGGCCGATCCAGCGCTACTAACGTTTTGCTCTACTACAGCAAATGCTGATTTTGCTTTTTCAGAAACCTGGAGTTTCTGATCCACTTCTCGGACTTTCTCATTAACAATGGAAGTACCAATGCTTATCTTCTCAGTGAGACCAATTTTTTGGTTTAAAGAGGCCACTTTAGCACTTGCACTTGAAGTCAACTGGTGCTTCTCATCAAAAGACTTTGCTTTGCCCACAGCATCTTTACCTAAGATATAACCTTTTGCGAGCATGCTGCTAACATCTTCTGCTTTCTGAAAAGCAGATTCTGAATCACCAGCAGTTTTCTTTCCTGTTGGCTGCAGAGGGTCGTCATCATATAAGAAAAGTGTGTGTTTTCATGTTCAAAGACATTGCAATATGTATGATTCTTTTTACCGGGGGCGCTGTAGCAGCACCAGGAGAAAGCTGGTAAACTGGATCCAAAGTCACTGTAACAGACATATCAACTATTGTTGCTCCCTGAAATAAATACGAAGACGCTAGTGAGAACTCTTTCATGTTTCTATATTTACAGACATTCAATGCCTACAAGAATGAGCACATTAAAAGGGGAATATGATAGTCATAAGGACTAGAATTCTTTTCTCATTAACTCACCACAGAAACTCTCTTTCTTTGCTTCAAGTAGAGTTTATGCCATATCAGAAATTTGGAGCCCTTATAAAGGAATTTGCAGGAAAAGATTTGAAAGGAAATGAAATCAGCCAATCTGAAGAAAACATGTTTTATCGCATGAGAATTACATCATAACTGTCGATACCCTCTTTAAGAAGAGTTTTTGACATATAAACTTCAAATATTATAAGGTAAAGGTCAACATTGAGGATACATGGCAATGTTCTGAAATAAAGTACCTTTGACATAATTAATGGAGTACTTCATTTGCATCGTAGTCATATAATATTGTAATTCAAAGAAATTATTTTCGTTTTAGCAAAACTACCAAAGGTATTCCCAAGTGATCAACGAAGCAGGACCGGAAGTCGTGATAGACCAGTATTCGTATTCCACGAAAGGCAAAGAAGTTAATTGATTTCTTTCAATCCGCCTAAACTTTTGTATGCAAAGTTACCCAATACTTGTAAAGGTACCTAGTGTAATCGAGGTGTACCCAGCCACTAGTGGTCAATGAAGTGGGTTGAGAACCATGATGTCTCAGGTTCAAATCTCAACGGAGGCAAAAATACTAGGTGATTTCTTCCCATCTGTTCAAGCCTTGGTGGACAAAATTACCTGGTGCTTGTTGCTAGTGGGATGTCAGTTGGTCCGGAAACCACAGTTAGCAAAAAATAAAAAAAATAATAATAGAAGCCAGCTTGGAAACCGGCAAGTTTCTTAGTTTCCAAATAAGTGATACCCTTTCTTTAGAGTCCGCTAGGTCAATTAAGTTGCCTAAATCTCTTCCTTATCTGCTGCTCTTTATCTGCCTTGCTTCATCTTCGGCTTATTGCAATGTTACATTCAATACCTTCTGATCCTAGATAGTCCAACCTAACCTAGAAAGGGAATAAACATGACATGGCCTTTCATTTTACCATGCATACCTGTATGGACTCTAAGCTGACTTGACAGTTAAAACCAAGGGCGGATCCAATCCTTTGGTACCGGGTTCATCTGAACCCAATACTTTCGACGTGGCACATAAATTTATGTGTAAAAATTTACTAAAATTGCAACAAATAGTAGATATGAACCCATAACTTTAAAATATAATAAGTTCAATGCTAAAAATCTTAAAGGTTGAACACATAGAGTTTAAATCCTGAATCCATCTCTGGTTAAACGTCCAGCTTATTGTTCAATCTATTTTTGCCTAAGTGCTAGTTCATGTTTAGCCCTCTCAGTATCTTCCCTAGAACTACAAAGGATAGAGAAATTTTTGCAAGTATCTGACATCTTCTAGTGATCACCTGATGGTGAGACATCATAAGAACCCAAACTATGATTCTTTGATATCAAGATAGATCATGAATGATTTTAATAGACTACCGCCGTCTTATAAATTTACTTTTCAGCCTTTGCAACTTCAGCCTTATATCTAACATATTTAAACAATACTATACACAGACTTCCAACAGCCTGTGACAAAGTTTCATTTCCCCTATCTCCAATAACACTTACATGATAAGTTTTCTTGGGAACACTAATATGATGAGTTAGCCAAACTCACTCCTAGAGTCTTTCAATGGAGAGTTTGCACTAAAATCATCTGCCCTATCAATCAAACTATCATTCTTAAATAAGCCCTAAGGGAGCACCTGAACTTCTGCAGTGAAAAGTGAAATGCTACATCAATGCCCGGTTATATACTAGCATGAATTTCAAGATTTTAAATTAACTTGATAAATGAAAAAAATTAAAATTTTCCTCATAAAAAACATATACATACAATAAGCTCAATCACATAAAAAAAGTTTCTAATAATTGCGTTAGCTAGAGTTGTTCCATAAAATCTTAATATAGTCAAAACAATGTAACAAAAGTGGTCAGCAAACAGCATATGAACAAGAGTAAGCAAGAGACTATAATGAAGGTTTGTTACTAGTAATGAACTGTTTTTGCAGTAAAAAGTACCATCTCAGTCACATGCTCAAATGACAGTAATATGCCGGGACAATACAGTAAAGAAGATAAACATGAATGCTACAACAACAACTATGCCTCAATACTACTTGATATAAATTAATATAGAAGGCAACATTGTTGCAACCATTAATATCAGATTTCAGATTATCAGTTCAATATCCCAGGCCCACATAAGCATAGTCCAAAGAGTAAGGGAAACAAATTGAAAATTTTGACAGATTAGAGAACGAGGATAACTGAAAGAAGAACTGCAGTGTCAGCTCCCTGAGAATCCTTGAATGTAACATATGCAGTTTGGCTTCGTTCAATATCACTACAAAGTAAAAAGTTGGGGTTAATGACAAACTGAAAGAATTAGCTCAAAGAAAATGGTAAACAATCTCAAGGGCTAACCTTTGCATCTCAACATATTCAATATCACCAGAGAACGAAAAGAATTCCTTGATATCCCACTCTGATGCTCCTAAGGAGACATTGCTAACTTTAACAGTTTTCACCTGCTCAGGAACAAGCAAGCTGTCAAGCGTTTGGGAAGACAGTACCATTTTCACCATTTCAGTTAAACCTCATTATCAAGAAGGCATACTTGGACAACATCTTATCATCATTTAAAACAAATAAAAAGAGCAACATCTTAAATATCAAAGGATCATGCAAAGATGCGTACGGATTAATTTCAAATAGATTTGAGACACATGTTCCATTAGGAATGAGATATAATTAGAGAGGCAACAACTCGAAACTTATCGAAAATGTTTGAGCCATTTAAATTTGGTTAATTTGATTCTAATTCAATTATAAGTTTTAGGCCCTGTTATTTTGACCCCTTTTTGGTAAATTATTTATCATTGTACTATCCCAACTCCACTGCTCCAGTTCAATATTTATCTGTCCTTATCCATTTTTCTTTTTTGAGAAACTATCCTGATCCATATATTTTCTGCTTGACATAGTTAGAAATATAATTCAGTGATAGTTTACGCTCTTTCACACCAAAAGGAAAAGTAATGTTTGCTGAAGGAGTTATTCTACAAGAATGTTATGAAATTGCAATTAGATTATCAAATCAGCCTTTTTTTAACAGGATTATAAGATCAACTTCTCTTCAGTATCCTACATGTGAAGATGCCCTTGAACTAAAAGATGTTGTATATCCACTCATGATGTAGCATGGAGATTTTGCTTCAGAAGATATTCTAAAGTAAGTTCACTCCCCGGGGATCTAGTGGCTTCCAGCTTCTTTTAGTCCCCTTAGTCACAAAACTTCACATAATTGATGCGAAAATCTAGAAAATTTATATGAAAGTCGCAAAGTCTGTATCATACTACGCTATCTCAGATCTAAAGATTGATCCTCTTATCCACTCCCCCCCCCCCCCCC